AAGAATCTGGTTTGGAACCTTGACATGCCATCACGGCTAAGTTAACTTCTGTGCATGTTGTAAATGCAAAAAGTCAAGGGCTAGGTATGGAGGGGTCAGAGACGCCACGCGGGCCATCTGTTTCTTCACAGTGTCTCGGAGCTCTGAATTTTGTGGGTTTTTTTTTTTTTTGTATTTTTTTTTGTATTTTTTTTAAACACCTAAAATTAGGTCATGGCACTGGATTTCAATTGCCAGTAGAGGTCTCCAGTCTGATGGAAGACATCTCTTTCCCACAAGTGCTTTTTTTTCCTTTTGGCGACTCATGTGGTAGACAGAAACCAAGTCTGTGATGTTTGAAAGATGGGCACCTCCAGCCACTAGTAATCAAGTGTTTAAAAAAATAAAGGAAACTAGTAAAAATTGGAAAGCTCAAATTCACGTGATCGAAATGTTTACAAAATAAATCTACATGATGAGAGGTGACCAGCAAACCTCTGTACACATGCCAGAATGTGGTGGAAGAGAGCCGCTCCCACCGAATTTTCTAAGTGTATGGAAGCCACCTAACCTCTCAGCAGACATGGCTCTTGCCAAAGAATATCACGGAAAGAAAAGAGTTTTTCTCTTTCATCATATCCTCACTATACCCTTTTCTTAGGTCACTGCCAACCAATACAGCAAAGCTTCCAGCAAGTTGACCAAAAAAAAAAAAAAAAGGTAGAGGAGGGGAGAGTGGGGGGAAAGAGAGGAGACAGAGAAGGACAAGAGCACAAAAACAGGAACCCCTTTCCACTGGCCCAACACAAACAGACTTTCCAAACCACTGTATGCAGTTGTCACAATGAACACGCATGGAGAAGTCGGTGCACAGTAACCGGGGCGAGAACACAAGGAAGGAGCTTGGCATTCCACATTACTGAGACATGAAAGCATATTTAACTTCCTTGATTTCTGTTTATTTTCAATGTAGCCCACTGCCTGTGGGGCCTGTCCAGGACCACTCCGGTTTCCTCAACGGGCAAGCGTCTTAATGCCTGCGGAGTGACTGGGCCACATGCACACACCCGCGCGTCCCCCGCTTAGGGCGTCTGGGTGTATGTGCGAAGGCACTAAAGCGGTTCTAGAGAAATTGCAGGCAGCACCCCCACCCACTCCCTTTACCTGTCGAACTGGAGTTTCTTTCCCACTGGGAAGCTTAGATGTTTAAAAGCAGCTGTGGTCATGCTTGGGAATTCTGACCCCCGGCCCCAGGAGGGAATACAAAACGAGAATTCAACATTATGAAAAATCGAAAGGAAACACTCCACATCTCCAGCTGAGGGATGGGGATAATTAAGCAGCAGATCTTCAAAACAGCAATTAAAATGAGCACAACAGTAGCTGGGAGCTAAAAAAGTAAAACCACTTGTTCCTTATTAGATTCTTCTTCTTTTCTCCTCCTCCCGTAACAAACGGAGGTAAGACAGACATTCTTCGTTAATAGAACAGTCCATAGATATTTTCCTCTAGTAATGCCTATATTTAAAATTTGTTCCAAAAATTATTAACCTCTATTTCCTAGCTCTTTACATAGATTCTCAGCAATCCAACCGTACTATTTTACAGCTTAGAGTTTATTTTTTTCCCTAAGTTGTTGTTTCTTTCTTTCTTTTGTTGCTGGGGTTTGAGGGACAGGGAGAAGGGTTCCCTTACTTAAAACAACAACAAAAACAACAACAATCATTAGGGGAGATGTCAGTTCAATCTCAAATGGAAAGGGACAGAGTGATGACATTCCCATTTATTAAAAAAGACACTCCCACTAAATAACACACAATTTCAAATGAATCTGTGATAAAGCTCTTAGAAAGCTAATCCTTCTCCCGTGTTTTTAAAGATAACGAATTGACCTGTTGCTGCTAAATTGATCATTTTTAAAAAATATTTCTTCCTGTGTTTTAAAATGTGTGACCCCCAGTACGACAACAATGTTTGGAGACTTTACATTTTTTTTTTAAGTAAAAATTGTTTAAACTTTTTGAAGTTTCAGGAACTTGTAAAAGTTTATGAACAGGAAAGAAACAGCCATCTATCTAGGATAAGATACGGTTAAATAAACCATCTTCAAAAAACTGGCTTCCTACCCTAGAATTCCTGAGAATGCTTGCAAATTTTAAAGCAGGAAAATAAATGTTAAAAACGAAAACAAAAAACACTGTTAAATGCTCCCAGAGTTAGTCTTCATCTAAAATATATATTTATATGTATATATATACGCACTTTTTGGTCTTTTTTTTTTTTAAGTTTTTAATTTTTTTCCCTTTAAGCTTAAGATGGAAGAACATTTGAGCTTCTCATGTTTATTTTTACATATTTCAAATCCCTCATTATGTCTTGTAAACAAGAGGGGCTCTAGCACCCGGCTTTCACCGTAGTATCGTAAGGAACTCAACTACCCCATAGTGCAGGCCAAGGAACCAGCAGGCAGGAGGGGGGAGCGGGGGCGGGACGTGGCAGGGAGTCACGGCAGTGGACAGGGTTGTCGCGGGCTCGTGGGAGCCTCGGGACATGGCCCTGGCCCAGGGCCACTAAGATTTCACCTTCTGTAGATGGCTGAACACAGCTGCTCTCCACCTGGACGTCACCACACACCACAGGGGTTTTTGCTCCCCACAGAGAGCAGGCAGAGGGGACCGGAAGGAGACGTGTTTGTACGTGGGCAGGGGTGGAAGGGGCAGGGTGGTGGTGATGAGGACCGGAGAGCAGCTGGAGGGCACAGTTAGTTTTCTACAAGGCATCCACTGGGGCCGAACCAATGCTGGAGACTCAAGTTTGACCACCTACCCACAAAGGGCGCGTAAAGACTTCCGTGAGCGGACGCTCACTCGAATTACGCATGTCAATCTCTTTTGAGGCTAGGTTTATAATCAACAGGGTAAGCCAGAGGACTACAGAATTCCCACTCTTTGTCTCATAAAACCACTTGAATGCAAATAATTCATTTTTGCCTTTTCCTACACACACCCACCCGCCCACCTACACACAGACACAAGCTAAAAGTCAAATACATTAATTAGGCATTGTTGTATCCTTCACTGAAGATGCTAAAGAAAGAAAAACTCCCTTGTCCTCACTAGCAGCAAGTTACGGAGGACAGTAGAGGTCTGCTCCCACCAAGGGTTGGAATGGGCAGGTATTTGCTGGTACAGAATGTCGGCACTTTATGTTAAACAGTATAATGCAGACTGGGATGTCCACACAAGTGCTAGCACATTACCGGCATACGTCCCCCTCCCCCCACCCCACCCACCCCACCAGCCATCTGCTTTGTATAAAGGGGTACCCCTTCAGGTCTGCTAGAACTCTTCACAAAAAGCAGTTTGATACATGTTGATTCCAACATAAGTACATACATGTTGGTGATAACTGTGGATTAAAAGTTGCCCCCTAGTCGGCCCAGAGTACTACTACATTGATGCTTAAAAAAAAAAAGTCTTTAAATACCAAAATAAAAAAAGCAACATTACAAGGAAAAAAAAATAAGGAGGTCAAAACCAAAAAAAGGTGCAATACTTAAAAGTCTTTGCTAAGTTATACCTGCCTAAGCAAAACCACATACACAGGAAATACACAACACAGAGAAACAAAAGGAAACGCTTGAAGTACACACTGGTTTTAAGAACATTCGTTAAGTAAACGTCTCTGTCAGTGATGGCCTGGAGCTGTAACGCGCCGCGGCCTGGCACAGGTAACGCTCGGCGAGAGAGGAGCAGAGAGGGAGAAGCTGCAGCTGCTCACAACTTGTGTGTTTCCGTTTTCATAAAATGAAAAAGAGAACCAATTCGGCATTACCTGACTCTCTGATGAGTTCCTCACACCTGATTACAACAAGAAAGAGGGAAACGTGGTTTTTCTGCTTTTGAGACACCACGGAAGTAAAAACTCTCTCATTGTCTGTTCCCGTTCAAACTAACGAAAAGGAAAGGCCTGCGTGAAACTTAACAGATATTCCAATGTGCCTGGTGGCCACTTACTTTAAAAAACCATAAATAAATAAAACACACGGTTGCTCCAAGAGGTACCTCCTGCTCTCCTACTTTTTTGGGACTTGGCAGTGCTCCGCTCTACTGCTAGGTCGAAAAGAAAAGCAAGAGAAAACTCTGCTCGGGCTGATTTGCAAATGCAAAGGAGCTCCCTGCTTTAATCATTAAAAAGCACTCTGTTCATCTTAATGCAGCCCAACGGAGTTGCTTTAAGTAAGCAGTGGCTCCCCGTGCTTGTGTGTTCTCATAGTTAAAAAAAAAAATAATAATAATAAAAAATAAAAAGCAGATGGCCGGCCAGCCAGCCTGCAGACTGTTAGCAACGCAGCGTTCGGAGAGACCGGGTGGGGGAGGGGAGGAGGACACGGGCACACGCGCACACAGAGACAGAGAAGGATGCACGCAAATGCACATAAACACACGTGCACACACATACCAGAACGAGCATGCCTGGGCAGTTACATGTGCCAGAACACACTGGTATTTATCAACCAGCCAATCACAAATTTTTTCCATTTTTTTTTTTTTTTTTTAGGTTTTTTGTGTTTTTGTTTTTAAAGTGAGGCTCCGTCAAGTCTTCCCCCCCCCACCCCAACAATTCTTTTGAATTCCCCTCCCTCCCAAACGTGGTAGACCTAAGGACGGAAACACACCCAGTGCAAACAAAGTTAAAAAGCTATTTTTTTTCAGTATATATGTTTCTTAGCAACAACTTCCATATAACATGAAAAAAGTGAAAAACTAGAAACTAATTTTTTTAATTTTTTTGTGTTTAAATTTAAATGGTATGTGTACTTGCTTCACATTGTCTTTCTAGGTTGGCGTTCATGATTCAAGTATTTCAAGAGTGATATGTTCTCTTTTTGGATTCATATTCCAAACGAAAAAACTGAAGTTATAAGGGAGGCAACTATGTGCTCAGACAGTCTGTCAATGACCCACCTTTTTTTTTCCTCTCTCCGTTTTCTTTTTTCCTTTTAAAAATGTATTTATTGCAAGTTGAAAAAAAAAACGAAAAGGTCAAGTTAGTGCTGCTGCTGTTCCAAAAAAGGTCACGAGGTCAGAGTTGAAAGTTCTAAGTTCAGATTGAATCCGACCCTCCTCCCAGAAGGTCACCAGGTAGTAAGGGAGCAGGGCTGCCCATCCTATGGGGATCTTCCACGGTCGGGACTCCCCACAAGCTAGAAGAATAGTTTGGGGGCCCCCACAACGAAGCGCCAGCAAGATCGGCCCCGCTGCCACCGCCAGCACTGCTGCTCCACTGCCCGAGCCCTGTGGACCCACCGAAAAGATTCAGAGCAGGTCCGACGGGATCTGACTGGGTCTGGCCGGTCTCCAGCGACTGCCAACCTGCGGCGGGTGCACTTGGGGTTGCTGCAGGTGTAGGGGGCTGAGCTTGTGCCAGAAAGCGGCTGACTTCATCATCGGTGGCAAACTCAGCCAGGATGGTAGTGTTTCCCAACACACACCTAGAACGAAGGGGAGGGAGAGAGCTGTGGATCTGAGGGAAATCCTAAAGCATCTGTAGGGACTGAGGCTTTCGGGTCCCCGAGTCCTCGATGTTCAACGTGTGCGTCTTTGGCCAGCAGCTTCCGCATCCCCTGGAAGCCTTCTAAACTGCAGAGTCACAGGCCCCACCCCAGGCCTACGGGATCAACACCTGCATTTTAACCAGACTGGCTGACTGAGAAATACTGTTCTAAAGCAGTAAGGGGAACTAAATCTCAGGGCCTCCAAAGACTACTAGGGGGTACCATGTATCGATATCCTTTGGGATATGGAATTTGTATGTTGAGAAAACTGTCACCTCTCTTTTCCCTATGGGAGGTAAAAGGTCACATCGCAAAACATCAAGGTGACCCAGCCTCAGGCATCTAGAAGTGCCACCGCTCTGTCCCAGGGCCGGGCTCCCTGTCTGAGAGTCACCACCGCTTGCTGGTTCTGTTTGCAGCTTTCTGCTGGGGCACCTGCAGCCAAAGAGCCAGCTCTTTCCTGGCTCCCAGTTGGACAGCAGTTGGGACTGGGGACAGTCAAAGTGCGAGCCAGTCCCACCTACTTACGACAAAACCCCTGCCTCCCACCAAGTCACAGTGTTTCATCTTCACCAACAAAGACAACAAAGTAAGTGACTAAATTCTACTACAGAAAGTGGTGGCACCCACAATGTTTCACATTCTCCTCAACACTGGCTTTGTTTTACGTATTAAAATGTACTCACTGCTTCAGGACTTCATAAATTCTTTACTTTGGGAATTCGGATTCTTGGCCTGCACAGATACACAGGGCAATCCACGCTTAGGGAGGCGGAGAAGATGAGTGACCTCAGTACCAAGCAGGCGCTTATGCCACGATGCTGTTTTTGTGCATGGTCTCATGCATCTTTGCCTAACGAAGCAGGTGCCAGAATACTCACGTGTGCATCTTCATGCGTGTTTGTCTCAGTGAGTGTAGGATGGGTACTCACATGTGCAGTGCAGTTTGGGCCTTGGCCGCCTCCTGTTTGGTGCTGTATCGGATCAGGGCGGTGCCCTGGGTTAGGTTCAGATGGAATGTCAGCAGTGGGCCATGCTGCATGCAGATGGTTCTCAACGTTGACCCATCAATCTAAGGAGTAATGACATTCATGAGGCTAAAAACTGGAGGCAGAGTGTGAAAAGAAGTCAAGTGGCCTTTCTTGCATATGAGGAGAAGGGCTCTGGTTTGTAAATGAGGACATCTGCACTAAGTTTTGGAGAAAGGAAGGAAGAACTCAAAGCAGGGAAGAGTGCACTGAATAGAGGTCTTAAAGGCAAATTTTAAGTTAATTCAAAGCACTGGGATGAGATCCAAAGTGCCCATATTGCAAATAAAAAAGTTTGTAAAAACACAGCTCAAGACAAATCATACGATTCAACCTGTAGTCTGTTTTTAAGAGATAAACACATGAATATGTGTTGACTTGTCAGAGCCTTTAGAAAGCAGAAATAGGATGGCACCTGAATAGGAACTTAAGACAACACGCCAAGTTCTCAACATCATTACTAACATCGTATTTGAACTATTCTCCACTCCCCCGGTTAATAATCTCACAGACAGCTAAAGGAGGACACACACAAGGAAAGCCCTGCTGACCCCCTTGACAGTTTAGTGGTTTTTAAATTTTTTTAAAAACTGTATTTATTTATTTTGAGAGAGAGAGAGAGAAAAAGTGTGAGTGGGAGAGGGAGAGAGAGGGAGAGAGAGAATCCCAAGCAGGCTCCACACTGCCAGTGCAGAGCCCAGCGCGGGACTCGAACCCGCGAACCATGAGATCATGACCTGAGCTGAAGTCGGACGCTTAACTGACTGAGCCCCCAGGCGCCCCACACGCTGACGAGAATGCTGCTGGCTGACCCAGCTCACAGACAGCACAGCTGTCCTTGGAACCGTGCACTGGCCATCTCAGGGCAAGCCTTTCTGCTGCTTCTCTGTGAACTCTGCCGCCCTCAGCCTCACGTTAGCCAGACTCTCAAGATGTTCACTGACTCGAGACCGTCTCTCTCACTCAGGACTTGGATGAACAGACACACTTATTCACTCTGATTAATGTACTTGTATTGAGATCTTAACTAGGTTTAGATAGGCTGCTCAGTCCAACACTCGGTTCGTTTATCTGGAAGGGAAACAGATTACTATAGGAACAGCCTTCAAAAATGGTGCTACCGGCGGGGGCAGTGGAAACATTGTGTGGTTTCACCATGGAAACGCTGCAGGATGGAAACGGGTAGCATCACCGCAGTTCTTTACAGAAAATGGAAATCAACTCTATGAGCAGGTTCATGTGGGTCACAAGGGGCCTTTCAGGACAGATGCCCTCTAAACAGATTTTAGGTGATGCAAAGTACATTTGTCCAGGTTCCAAAGATTTGCCCTTATAACCATCTTCTAAGCTGTGGTCGAGATTAGTCTATTCAGTAGTTTTGAGTTTTGAAATTCATCAGTTCTTTCTAATATAAACACAGTTAACTCCTAGATTCCTATTTCGTACATACTCACATGTACTTACTATTTTTCACAGGATAAAACAGAAGTGAGCAACCAGCTAGCTCGTCCAAGTTCCTTTCAACACAGTGTAGCCTTTATGGCCTCTCTGTCCTCACCACATAGCCACCACGCTGTGTGACAACTTTAGAATGTTGTCATGTTCTAATGAGGCATATATGCTTCACCTGGTTCATAGCTAAAAGAACCACCTGAGGCTTTAGCTGAGTTGATGTGGCGATTAAGAGCCAACTCGGACTCTTTCTCATGTTAACTGTATTTATGAAACTACCTTTCTCCACACGTACCCTAAATACAAACCCTGGACTCACTCCCCACAAACAGCTTCCATGAACAGGCTCACTGGGCAGTAAGTTTAGGAGAAGCTGTCTTTCTCCACAGAGGAGCATAATACACATTAGCATATTCAAGAGTCCAAGAAGTCTCACAGTGAAGAAACCTGCTTAATGTTGTTTAATCAAGTACATGCTCCAAACATATTAGGCCGGAGACCTATTAACATCCCATGGGAACACTCTAGAAAATGCTGGCTTACTAAACTGTGCATGAATCCAGTTATGAATTAAATGCTAGACAATTCATTCTGTGTGTCAGATGGAGGGAGGCATAACTGACTCCTTTTAACAAGGTGTTGTAAAGGTTGTGCTGTCAAGTCCAACTGAAGGTCAGGGGCTCAGTTTCAGTGGGTTCATTTAATCTCATTTGGGTTTTCAACATAATACTGCTGCAAGTATTTCAGTTATCAAGCAAATGAGGTGACAGAGTGGCTTGGGGCAAAAGAAACCCATCACTGGAAAAACAACCCAGAGGGCATATTCTGAAGAGAGCAAATTAGTAATGCCATCTACAAAGAAGAGAGTAACAGATGGAAAATTGAAAGCACCCATGTGGCATTTAAGCTATGAAACTGACAGATTTCTTCTACTGCAGAGATAGATGGTTAATTATTTATGAAACATAAAAATGTTTGATACGGAGCCCCACGCCTTGTTGGGCCAACAATCCCCATTCAGGAGTAGGCTTTGAGCCTCGGGTGGGGAGGCCACCCGTGCATGTTGCACCTCTTAGCAGCAAGCAGGAAATTAATGAGCTTTCTTATCTGCCGACATTTCACACCTGAGTTTCCCGTTCTTAATACAGTCAGATCCTGTCTTGAAAATCATGAGGAAGCATGGTTACCTGTGGAGTGAGATTGTGAAGAACCAGCCAGTAACTGGGACGAACTGAACCACCATCACTCCAGGTAGAGGCTGTAAGCAACCAGAAGAAGAAAATTAGGAAGAGCAATAAAAAAAATTCAGAAATTCGTGAACGAGAAAACGTTTTCACACAGGCCCCGCGCATCTTCTTCCCTTTTAAAAACGGTCTTCTCTTTTATAACCTCCCTCTAACTTCTTTCATCCTGTCACTCAATGGCTGGCTTCTTGTCCCCTGGACCTCGTAACCCTGTGCGCTCCCACACCTCACTCATAAGGCCAGTTTCCTCCTAATGTTCTCACGTGGCTGGTTGTCATTTTCCCTTCATCTGTCCCTTGTGAGTTCTTGGCTACCTCTGCCCTAGACTGAACTGCAATTTTCCACTCAAGAGATACTCTCCTCTGCCGGACAACCGTGATTTCCTCTCTTGTGAAGCCTTCAGCATGTGTCTTTTTTGTGTTAACACAAGTCCCCTGTGTTTGAACCATGATGCTCCTTTAGGCGGGTCCCTCTCACCCGAGGCAAGCCGTGAGTCCTGCTGTGTCCCCCACCCCCTGACCGATCGGGGTGCTGTGCTGCTCCAGGGAGATGATGGTTTGGCGTTGCTCAGACCAGGAGGTGGGCGGGGCAGCGGTGTAGTGTTCCTTGAGGAAATATGGTTTTTCCACATCTTGTTGGAGAGATGAGTGGGGTTGTGTCCTATGGGATCTGGGGACCATGTTGATTTATAATCAGGGAACTTTGCTACGAAGAAGACAAAATTAAGGAAGGAATAAGGTTAGATGGGTCGCTTTTGCCAGTTTGCATAAATTTTGTGTATACATATAAGTAATATTCTAAAAATAGTAAGTACACATTTTGAGAGTAGCAATATAAAATAACACTAAATATAAAATTTTCAACGACTATTACTCTGAATCGACAACACGTGAACTAAAGATTTAGTGGTAACTAATTCTCTATTACTTTCTTAGCCAGACATAACCTGAAAGGGAAGATTCATTCAAGGGAGGTTTTCCTAAAACCATTAATCTTAAGGATATAGTAGAATGTGAACTTTAGAAAAACTATTCTATAAATGCTCACTTGCTGAATGGAAAGAAAGTACATTAGAAACTTCTAATTTTCTGGATCGTGATTAAGCTATCAACATTCATTGAAAAAAATTTTTTTTAATTTTTAAGTAATGTCTGCACCCAACGTGGGGCTCAAACTTACAACTCTGAGATCAAGAGTCACATGTTCTACTGTCTGAGCCAGCCAACATTCAAACAGATTTTGGGGAAAAAAAAAAAAAAAAGAAAAATCAACAAATATTTGCTAAGGGCTTATTATACTTTAAATCATTGCTCTGGGTAATATAAAGTTATTCTCAAGAACTTCAAATTCACATGAGAAGACAGAAAAGGTGAATAACAGAATTGGTAGCTGCAGGCATTGTCACATATGTTCAATACACTGAGGAGAAGACACCGTCTGGCCATCATCAGAGGCTTTGCAAGACTAGTCTGGAAAAATTTACATAAATGGATGGGCTTAGGTGCTTGGGTGGCTTAGTCGGTTACATGTCCAGCTTTTGATTTCAGCTCAGGTCGTGATCTCATGGTTTGTGGGACTGAGCCCCACATCAGACTCTGTGATGACAGCGTGGAGCCTGCTTGGGATTCTCTCTCTCCCCCGCCCCCCCTTTCTCTGCCCCTTCCCTGTTCATGCTCTCACTCTCAAAAAGAAACATTAAAAAAAAAAAAAAAAAAAAGAAATGGATGGGCTCAGAGAGGCAGGAGAATATAGACGAATATCCCATTTAAATATCTGTACCAAATATATTTTTCCTTGGTTTTGGCCGAATACCACTGCACAGGGGCAGAGAGGTACAGAAGGCCAGAAAGGTAGGGTGGAGGCTGACGAGGAAGCTACCCAGGGTTCTTGCAGTAGATCTGGTATGTGGTATTTAAACCTGGGTGTCAGCCTGGTGACAGTAAGTAGGGCGGAGAAGAAATGGGCAGATGTGGCTGCGGAATACATCCCCTGGGAGACACCCTCACCGCTTGGACTCGGGCAGCAAGTGAGAAAAATCTGGAAACTTTGGGACCCACTGATGCTGGAAGCATCATTAAAAAAAAGCCAAACACTTAGTTAAGGAGGAAAGACAATGTGGAAGAGGGGCAGAGAAGTACACATTCAGCTTAGACAAGTCTGGGGTGATTCTTGGGTCATCTCTCAGGTGAACGCCCTACTGTAGACAAAAGATAAAATGGTTCAACTAAAGATATGGATGGTTACTGGAATGAGAGGAGTGAAAAATCAGTTTTGACATGTAAAGAAAAAAGCCCCCCAAAGAATAATGTGGGGTAGTGGTTAGAAACAGATTTCTGAGCTGGCTCCTTTACACACGCGCTCAGACCTGAGGCAAATTACACCAGCTCTTTCTTGTCATCGTTGTTGTTGTTTTAAGACAGAGAGAGCATGCACAAGCAGGGTAAGGGGGCAGAGAGAGAATCCCAAGCAGGCTACACACTGTCAGCACAGCCAGACACGGGGCTCAATCCCACAAACTGTGAGATCTCAAAACCAAGAGTCAGACGCTTAACTGACTGAGCCACCCAGGCGTCCTACATCAGTTCTTTGAGACTGAGTGTCTTCATCTACAAGATGGGGAGAAGACCAGGACCTCCTCACAGACTTTGGTGACGGTGGGGGAAGAATTCATGCTGAAGGCTCAGCATGTGGCCTAGTCTGCAGGAACATTCAAATGACAGATTATTGTGACCCTGTTGATATGACACAGAAGTGGAAGGAAAAGGAAGAAAAGACAATCTGTAAGGCCATTCAACAACCATGTCTTAGAAAGTAGCTGAGGATTTGTTTCACTTGCTTTTGCCCGACACAGAACAGAAGCCTTAAGGACTTTGATGGCACGAGGTCTAACTTTTGCAAGACCAAGGTGCCAATTACAAATACTTTCTCTACCAATCTATAAGGCCTCGCGTTGAGTGAATGACTTCAAAGGTTTTATTATATCCATTAAGTTTTCATTCCTTATTGTCTTGGGAAAAAAAAAAAACAATACAAGGAACTCAACAAATGTTGTTAGTAGAATTAATTAAGGGCCTCTTTTTTTTTTTTTTTTTTTGCCCTTGGCCATTTGCCTGTAGCCTTTGTCTATAAGTGGAAGAATTTTTTTTTTTTTTTTAAAGAAAAGCAAGCTAGAATTGGTTGCTCAGGAATAACATGCTGGACTTCCTTGGTTTTCCTCATGGCCCAGGATTCCTTTGGCAGACTGGTTAAAGAAAAGCACTTATGGCACAAAGATTTGACCTCCGTCCTCTCGATGCTCACAAGCTCCCTGCAATGATGTCACCATCTGCCTTGTCCTAAAGCCACATGTCTCATCCAGTCTCTGTGACTAGAGGCTCCCTGAGAACGTGGCCAGTACAAGAAGCGTGCTTGCATTTATGCTGCCCTCGCTATTCAACTTCTGCCGGAGTGTTCCGTAAGAAATAACTACCCATTTCCTTTGTAAAAGGGAACCTGATGGCAAAGTGCTAGCCAAAGGGAAACAAACAGGTCATACTTGTACCTGAAGTGCTATGAACGTTGGTAAAGGAGTTGTCAGAGGCACTGTAGGGCCAGGCACCAGGTGAAGGCAGCGAGGTGTTGAGGGAAGAATTAGACCCTTTGGGTGACACAGGAGGAACAAGATGAAAGACAGGTATCAGTATAGCCAGTGCAACCTTAGGTATTTGACTCAACCTTCAATGGAAGATTAAAATACATCTTAAAAAAAACCTGAAAAGCTATACATTTTTATGTTTTCTGGTTAAATTACTAGATTAGCAGGTACAAATGAAGGCACAGATTGACAAATATGAAATGTTCTGAACGAACACCAAGGATGCCTCACTCATTTACCTGTGGTGTTATCCCGCAGAAGTTGGTGGTCAGTATCTACAATGGGAGATGTGGCTGTACCCCCCAGCACACTTCCTGGGGTGACATAGGGGTCAGATTCAGGGTCAATGTTTTGGATACCTTTCCATGGCACTCCTGGTTGGAATTCTGAAACAAGGAGAAGCAATATTAGAAGTAGGAGGTTATTTAAAAAAAAAAAAAAAAAAAAAGAATCAAGTTAGTTTAAAAAAGAAATTTTTTTTTTAACATTTATTTATTTTGAGACAGAGAGACAGTGTGTGAGCAGGGTAGAGGCAGACAGAGAAAACGAAGTAGGCTCCAGGCTGAGCCAACAGCAGAGAGCCTGACATGGGGCTCGAACCCACAAGTGAGATCATGACCTGAGCCGAAGTTGGACACTCAACCGACAGAGCCATCCAGGTGCCCCTCAAGTTAGTTTTTGAAACAAGAAATAGATCTGTGGAAGGCAGACTACTGAAGCTATTTTATCACAAACATTTATCATAAAATTAAAAATCACAATCTCAGCCTGAACATATACTGTGCCAGCAGCACCTCTGTGTTATCAAGCTTGCTGACTTTCTCGGTGTCTCTGCGTCTGTGAGCCGGAGCCCATCAGTACCTGGCCCGGTTGCTGCTCTTCCTGCTTCCAGGGCAGTTCGGGCCCAAGAGCAGTGAGGCCAGGAGTAAGTAACCTGGTGCTCAAGAGAACTGTCCAGACATCCAGGACACAAACTGGGAGAAAATCTGCATTGGAAGTAAGTGACTTCTCCCATTTATCCCACTGGAAATGGGCTCAGATGAACAAAAGAAAATAGAATACAAATGACTATGACTTTGTGGAACATCCAGGGAGAAAGAGCAGGAATAATGTGGCTTATCGTGAGAAAGCTCTAAATATGTATAATTATTTTTATTACATATTTAAATGTTTACTTATTTTTGAGAGAGAGAGGGAGAGAGGAGCAAGCAAAGCATGAACGGGGCTCCAGGCTCTGAGCTGTCAGCATGGAGCCCGATGCAGGGCTTGAACTCATGAACTGAGAGATCATGACCTGAGCTGAAGTTGAATGCTTAACCGACTGAGCCACCCAGGCGCCCCTATAATTTTTTTAATTGGTTAATTTAAATCATATTTAAAGTTATGTGATGGGATTAACAAACTTGTTTTCCCAATCATGATGGAGAGCAATACAGTGTAATACACAAACAGTATGCATTACATGAGTCTTCTTCGGTGGAATGAAACTGCACATATTCATATCACAAATATTCTAGTACAGGAAGAGGTTTAGAAAGACATATACCAATTTTTAATTTTTGACTTACTAAATTAAATTTTTCTCTACAATGAAAATAGATTACTTAAATTAAAAAGAGAAGGGAAAACGTGACAAAATAGTCTCATTGTATCACTACTGCATATCTGGAACCTAACTGATGATAAATACTTGCTTAATGAATAAATGAGTCTATTGAATGGACATTTCAGAAGAACCCACGTTACAAGGCATCCTGTGCATGGATGAATCCCAAGTCTGGCTCCAGCACCACCTTCTCTGATCCCAGTTTCCACTCCTCTGACTCCTTTCAGCTTATCTGTATCTGTACAGTATTCTTCACAGTTCCTTGCCCTGTAGGTGATCAGTGTCCACACCTCACCTTCCCGACTGAACTTTAAGGAGCAGAGACCCCATCCTCCCACGGCATAGCACATACCTTGCTTTTATCAGACAATTAATTCGAACGAAAAAACAAAGTGCCTGAGGAACTGGCAAAAGCAATCTGTTCAAAACCTGAAATTAAGAATTAGAGACAAATGATACACAGAAAAAGCATTTTGTGCACCGTACCTGGAGGCCAACTGGCATTGCTGGATTTACTTCCGATTTTATTTGTTGGTGGAGATTTGGCAGGTAACCAGCTATCACCAGCAGGACCCGTATGGCCACCCAGTGTGTCACTCGGGATGATATCAAACTGGTTGTACGGGGACCCTCCTCGAGTCTTACCAGGGGCCACGATAGCGCCTGTGGAGAGAGAGGAAACTGATTCACACCCAGCAAAAACAGTATTCTGACTATGCAGTTATAAAAAAGTTCTGGAACAAGAGGTCGCGCTGGAGAGCCAGCATATAGTTCATACGTAAGATGGCTAGGAACGATTCATTTCACCTCTCTGAGCTTCTCGGGTTCTCATTAAGGCCCACTCATTCTTCAATTTTCCTTTCAGTTTTAAAATTCCACGGTCTTGAAATTAATGACAATCTGACCGACTACAAATCATACCATTATCCCCAGTTTCTATACTGATGACTCAAGAATAATAGGGAAAACACCACACCATCTGCAGTGCCCAAGAAGTGTTTTCAGTATACTTTCCCGACACCATCCACTCAAGTTCTTCGGTGCTGATCCGACCTCGGTTTGCTGGAAGAAACCGTGTAAATAGAGGGAGTCCACTGCAGAGAAAAGCTTCCGCCATCGCTCTGAATTCCAAAGCAATGAGATGGAATTCCCACCTAGGGTCTCTGCCAGCACAAGATCAGCAGGGAGCCCTGCAGCTCAGAGACCACTGCCCCACACACGAAGGACAGTCGATCCTTTGTAACTGCTTTTTTGAGAGCTTTTCAGCAGTTCTGTCTGTGCCCTTTTTATGCATTTTATATGCTATGAGGCAGGAAAAAAAACCTTAAAAGCTTCAAATTCCCTTAACCTAACAAAAAATGGGCTTCACTTTAAATAAAGTTCTTGGCCACCCTATTTATTTCTCAAATGAATCTCACATGCTTTTCAAATGAAATTCACATTGTGTCACTTGATCTACCCTTAGGATGCTGTTTATAAACAGATAAAATTATTTCCAGGATGATGTATTAACATATTTGTGTAAATACTGATTAAAGCAATCTGCTTGGTTTGGCCCAATAAGAGTATTATCAAAACCACCTTCCAAGCTCAGCAAAGAAATCATTTGCTTTTTTGGAGCCACTGACAGAAATCTGACTCAAGGGCACATTACAGTGAATCGCAGAAAATGAAGAGCTTGATTACCTTGGGGATTGCTAAGGAAATGGGGAAAACATTATCTAGAAGCTCTGAAAAGGCAAGTGGATACTTTAGCTTCAAGATACCCTTTCACATAGCACTTGTATTTATTATCATACATGTCTTTGGGGACAAAGGGACCTGATGAATCATCAGCCTAAGGAAGCAGGGTTAAGTCCCAAAAGCTACAGATGCTGGGCTTGAATTATTCAGTCCAGAAACAGATTTTATAGTTTCAGTAAATCATTCTTGATTTCATGGCATGAAATAAATGATAATGCTTAGGGATAGCAAGGGAAAGCTCCATGGGGCCCCTTTACCACCTCTGGGGTAGACACATTAAAGAGCGGTTTACAAAGGAACCCTGGAAGTTTTCACACTGATGGGGCTGAGGCTTGCCTGGGGACGGCAGCAAGTCCAGCCTAACACCTGTTTATTCTTGGCTCTCAAGGCTACAGTGAGTCCAGGTAAATTACTGTCAAATGAAATAAACATTGAATGAAACAAAGGCCTAAGACCTTTTATCCATTTTACAGGGAAATGGAGAAGTATTTACAGAGAACGACAAGGATGAAAGGGCCCACAATTCACAACCAAAGCCCACGATGCTCTTAACTGCTATCTTGCAGACACAGTAATTCAGAGAGAACAAGAAAGCTTTGTGGAAAGTTCAAATTTCATGTACTCTTCTATTAGCCATCTTTTGGAGATTAAAGGGTCCACAAAACCAACACGATATATATTTGTTATGATTTCTCATACTTCAAAAAAACGGGTTCTGTTCTCTCAGCCAATATATTAGAGTACTATATTAGGGTACCCATGTTTTATCCACGGATACTGAAGTTCATTGCTACTACTCTTAATCCAATTACAGTTGGGAAATTTTGCTCCCCTCAATTACAACTGGCATTTTAAGTTTTGTATAATTTGAAATATATACAACCCCAATCTTCCTGTCATAGGTGATCACAGGATTTGGGGGGGGTGGATCAAGAGACTACGAAAAAGCTAAAGATTTGTGCTTTAAAATAATTGTATAGGATATGTCACAAGGCCTCTGAGGGCTGAACACCTCATAATGCTGTGCTCGCTCTTACCATTTTTGTGCATATTGGCTTCCTGTGTGGCCACAGAGGGCAGTCCCTCCATCATGGAGGTCCACTGTTTAAAGCGAGACTCTGTTCCAGCCTCCTTCCCACCAACCATGCCATAGTCCATGCCGCCAGAGCTGAAGCCTAAAACACAGAATCACGTTTTACATTTTTCTATAAATTTCTAGTATCAGTAATCAAGAGATTTGAGGTAGAACCCATGAAGAGCTTCCTTTGTCATTTAAAGACGAATCCACAAGAAGTTTCTACACTGAGAAACAAATTTTTGGGGCATCTGGGTGGCTCAGTGGGTTGAGATTCGGACTTGCCTCAGCTCATGATTTCACAGTTTGTAGGTTCAAGCCCCACATCGGGCTTTGCACCAAAAGCACAGAGCCTGCTTCAAATTCTCTGTCTCTCCATCTCTCTCTGCCCCCCTCCTAAAACAAACATTTAAAAAAAAATTGAGAAAAAAAAAAAAAGATTTCAAAATGCTCATCATGACTCTTGCTTACTAAAAAAAAAAAAAAAAAAAAAAAAAAAAAAAAAAAAAAAAAAAAAAAAAAAAAAAAAAACCCAAAATAAAAGGCAAAAAAAGCAAGAACTCTTTGTTAAGGTATGAAAATGTGTATGAATGAAATCTAATTAAGGCCATGTCAGTGTACCTGTGTCTTTACTTACTCATTCAGCTAAAACTTGTGCCAGACAGCTTCGTTAACTCAGTAATATCTCCACACATCAAACTAACATGGTAACAATAGTCATGAGGTGTGGTGAGGGTGTCTGGGGGAGGAAAGGCTTTTACAGAAGGGACATTTGATTTAAGACCTATGGCAGGTATATAAGCCAAGGATACCAAGTACAAAGCTTTGATGGATGACAATCAGGTGACATTTAGGGAATGGTGAGGAGCTCGGTGTGACTCAGGTGCTCAGTGGAGGAAATGGGGCATAGTGGCAGGAGGTGGGGGCAAAGAAATGAGGAGTTGTGTTGTGTAGGGTCTTTATGTATCAGGCTGAGGATTCTGGGCCTTTTTTCTCCAAATCAGGAGATAAAGAAGTTTTTTAACAAGTGAGAGAAAAAGAGAACTAAGTTTGTACCTTAGAAAAAGAACTGGCCGTGGAAGAATGAGATACATGGAGGTCAAGGCAGAATCTAAGAGATCAATTTGAAAGAAATCTTTATGCAGTGACGAAGACTCCACAGCTCACAGAGGCAATGACAGGGGCGCCTGGGTGGCTCAGTCAGTTAAGCGTCTGACTTCAGCTCAGGTCATGATCTCGCGGTCTTTGAATTTGAGCCCTGCGTCGGGCTCTGGGCTGACAGCTCAGAGCCTGGAGCCTGCTTCCGATTCTGTGTCTCCCTCTCTCTGCTTTCCCCTGCTCACACCTCTGTTTCTCTCTCTATTTCTTTCAAAAATAAATAAAGATTACAAAAAAAAAAAAAAAAAGGCAATGATGGAGAGGTTCTGAGTTTACTTTGCCAGGAGCTCCACATAAGCCTTGGGTGTCACGCTGCTGGTGGGAGTGTCGGTGGGCAATGTCACCTGCACAGGACTGGACAGGTGAGGTCCAGTCTGAGATGCTTGCTGATAGGGTCTCATGGGTCCCCCCCATCCACTGTGGGTCAGAATGTACTTAACGTGAAAATAAAATAAAGCACTGAAATAAATGAAACAGAAGAGGGGAAGAACAATGCATAACCACAGTAAAAATGAGGATGGACCATGGGTAGTGGAGAAGGGCCATCCCATGTAAAAAGTTCATCTACTCTTAGTCAAGAAGATGTGTCACTCTGGCCGGCCAGACTCCACACTATACCCACTTGGCTGTGACCACCTGGTGGTGCCTCAGTGGCCCTGGGGTTCCACGCATCCAAATCCCATGAGGGCCCAGGTCATGTGTTCTCCCTGTGCTTCTCTGAGTTGTCAGAGATAGCTTTAAAAAGGCATAATAAATCAAGTTCAAATCATTCCTTTTTTTTTTTTTTAAATTTTTTAAATGTTTTATTTATTTCTGAGAGAGAGACAGAGAGAGCGTGAGCAGGGGAGGGACAGAGAGACAGGGAGACACAGAATCTGAAACAGGCTCCAGGCTGAGCTAGCTGTCAGCACAGAGCCCAACATGGGGCTCGAACCCACGAACTGTGAGGCCATGACCTGAGCCGAAGTCAGAGACTTAACTGACTGAGCCACCCAGGCGCCCCAAGTTCAAATCATTCCTAACACCTTAACCTATGTTCAAAATGTTGCTATTAATATAAGAACACTATTCCTTCACATTGCTTGTAAGTGACTTTACTAGTCCATGTGATTATGTGGAGGGTGTGGGGCAGGGAGCAGAAATTCCTGGAATAAACTGGAGATGTTTCAAATTAAATGATTTTTTTTTTAACTTTTTTTTTTTTTTTGAAAGACAGCATGAACAGGGAAGGGGCAGAGAGAGAGGGAGACACAGGATCTGAAACAGGATCCAGGCTCTGAGCTGTCAGCACAGAGCCCGATGCGGGTATCAAACCCACCGACCGTGAGATCATGGCCTGAGCTGAAGTCGGGCACTTAACCGACTGAGCCACCCAGGCGCCCCTCAAATTAAATGATTTTTTTAAAAGAAGAGTTTAAGGCATTTTCTTTTTTTCCCATGTAGCTGGAATGAAATGAGACTGGAGGAACACGGGTTTCTCTGACAGAAGCTTTAATGGCCTAAGCGGGTTGTGTTTGGGGGAAGTAACACCTCTGCCTTTGACAGAGAAAACCGGCCCAGGGTGCTTGGGGTTTCAGGCTATGCAAAAGCTTCGTTCTAATCATGGAGGAAGAGCTTTTGAAGGTAACCCAGGATCCTGGTGAAGATCAGAAAGAAGAGCATGAGGATTAATTAGAAGATAAAGAACTATTCCTTCCATATTCTTTTTCTTTAAAGTTGCTCTGGGGCGCCTAGGTGGCTCAGATGGTTGAGCATCCGACTTCAGCTCAGGTCATGATCTCACGGTCAGTGGGTTCAAGGCCCCCATCAGGCTCTGTGCTGACAGCTCAGAGTCTGGAGCCTGTCTTTGGGTTCTGTCTCTCCCTCTTTCTCTGTCCCTTCCCTGTTTAAACTGTCTCTCTAAAAAAATAAATAAAATATTAAAAAAAAAGTTGCTCTGAAATTTCTTTAGAACTCACAATGAATTAACCCTAACTTCAGCTGCTTAGAGTCCTTTTGTGACACACAAAGCATAGAAAATTAATAAGAGTTTTATATCTTAGGAGAGGGGACAGTTTGAGCAGTTCCATCTGAACCTCAAGTCAAGTGGGCACCTTCCTCATTAAAACCTTGGGGATCACACATCCCTAAAACATGGTAGCATCACAACTGAATCACAGAGTTTGGTAAGGAAACACATAGACGGGTGTGAAGAGAACAGGAGATAAAACTGCCTTCAAAGGTTCTTTCTCCAACCTAAAACCAGGAGAGGAAGAATCAATGTAAGGTTATACGTAATTCTGGGTCTTCTTTCCATGTCCTGTAGCAACTGGCATGGCTCGTAACCTCTATGGTATTTGCAAGCCCAGACTTCTTTGTACTTGTTATTTAACCAAAATCAAACTTCCTCAGTCCACCGAGTGGCCTCCGTGTAATTCTCCAGCTTACCACCAGAGCCTGAACTCAAATCAAATAATCCTTTAATTCAGTTCCATGCACACATACAGAACGCCTCATTTGTGGCAAGCTTTGGGAAGAGCGAAATAAGACATGCCCCTTACTCTCCCAAGGATTTATCTCCCCAGTACATCATCAACCTTTCACCTATCTTAACACCTACAAATCCAATCCTTGGCCTACCTTATCTGTCTCTGGAAGAATTACTTTCTTTGCCACACACTCTAATTCATGGTCTATATTCGTCATTACCACATGGCTCAGTGTCGCCTTCTTGAGGAAACTCTCTCAGGGTAACTTCTCCTTACGCAATCAGTCCTTCACGGTCTTTGTCCAAATTAGTTCTTTTCTGCTACTCCTTTTTTATTATAGATTAGAAAACAAACCAATGCTTTTATAATAATTAAAATAAAAATACACTATAAAAGTATGTACCCATAGTTGCTCACTTAACACATTCTCTCTTTTTAAGGTTTATTTTTGAGAGAGAGAGAGAGAGAGAGCGAGCGAGTGAGCGCATGTGCAGGGGAAGGGCAGAGAGGGAAACAAAGAATCTGAAGGAGGCTCCTTGCTGTTAGTGAGGAGCCTGAGGTGGGGCTCGAACTCACGAATGGTGAGTCCGTGACCTGAGCTGATGTCAGATGCTTTACTGACTGACTGAGCCATCGAGGTGCCCCACTTTTAATTATTCTTGCTCCTTGTTAGCCTACAGGTGTCTTTTTTAGTTCAATACTCAGCCATAGGCAAATTGAAATATTACTCATTTCATTACATCTTTGTTATCTAATTTTTGAAAAAAAATTTAACTCTTATGTATGCTTTAAATATATTTTCATCAAAATCTTATAGCTAGAGATTAAGTTTATTCAAATCAGGCAGCCAAAACTAACTTACTTTCAGTCCCAAAATGTATTTTTCAATTCAAATAAATGTCATAATATGAATTAAGGAAAAATTATTTTAAAGTTTATTTATATATTTTGAGAGAGTGAGAACACATGTGTGAGCTGGGGAAAGGAAGGGAGAGAGAGGAAGAGAGAATCCCAAGCATTTGGGGCTCGGTCCCACAAACCATGAGATCATGACCTGAGCTAAAATCAAGATCCGGATGCTCAACTGAGTGAACAAACCACTCAGGCGCCCTCAAATTAAGGAAATTAAAAAAAAAAATTAATGTTTTTTAAAAATTTATTTCTGAGAGAGAGAGACAGCACGAGCAGGGGAGGGTCAGAGAGAGAGGGAGACACAGAATCTGAAGCAGGCTCCAGGCTCTGAGCTGTCAGCACAGAGCCTGACACAGGGCTCGAACCCACGAACTGTGAGATCATGACCTGAGCCAAAGTCGGACTCTTAACTGACTGAGCCACCCAGGAGCTCCCTTACTTTGGATTCTAATGCACAGTTAAATTTATAAGCTGCTTTGAAACACAAGTATGATAAAAAACATGACATTTCTTCAGCAAATGTATGTATGTATGTATACTGAATTCTGATCCTACAGCCGTCAGGAAGTTATGCCTCCAGCACAATAAACACAAATAACACCATTAAGCTAATAAGACATCATGATATTAATTTTCTATATATTTAAATAAATGAGAATGTATGCTGCTACAAACTAAAAGATTCTCAGCTAACATGTAATTTTACCACCCTCCGCAATAATTTTACTTTTAATAAAAGGCAGAAAATATCCAAGATGTTGTAAGAACTGTCACCAGGCAAATACATCATGAGGTTAGGTTTTTAACAACTAACTGATTAATGAATACCCAGCCTAAAGGAAAGCCTATAAAAGGTTTATTCACAGGCTTTACCTGATAAATTGTGAAAAACATGTATTTAAGAGAGTCCGTGTCATTAACCTACGGTAATGTAGGTAACGTCAAGCTGTTCAGAGGTACTTTTCTTTCCACTTAAGACATGCTCCAGGGAGCAAACGCCGAGAAGAGCTGTGTGCATTTAAACACATGGAAAAGCTGCCTGGGGCTTCCAGATGTTCACTCTGCTTTGTACCCCATGGGATCTACTTTGAGAACCTCTCACTCTGACAAAAGGGGACAGAAGAAGCAAAGTTGCCCTGCTTTATGGTCATACATGGTGTCTAAATTCACAACCCGACACATACCAAATACCCAGGTTCTTATGTCAGGTTTCAACCTTAACAGAAAACAAGATTAAGAAGGTGAAGACTGGAAACAGAGTTAAGGACACCTTCATTAGTCATTATGGGAGGCTTCCCCCTTGTGTGGCACCCTGGACTTCTACAACCCAGATGGGCATGCCTTAGTAAGATAGGAGACGGAGGAGAGTTCTGTCTTCCCTCATGTCCAGTGGTTCGAGGATTATTTTTATCTATTTAAAAAAAAGTTTTTGGGGCGCCTGGGTGGCTTAGTCGGTTAAGTGTCCGACTTTCGCTTGGGTCATGATCTCGCGGTTCGTGGGTTCGAGCCCCGCGTCGGGCTCTGTGCTGACTGCCAGCTCAGAGCCTGGAGCTTGTTTCAGTCTGTGACTCCCTCTCTCTCTGACCCTCCCCTGCTCACGCTGTCTCTCTCTTCTAGAAATAAATAAAAATATAAAAAAAATAAAAAATAAAAAAATAAAAAAAGTTTTAAGGTTTATTTTTTAAAGAGAGCGAGAGAGCAGATTTTTATGTACTTATTTTTAAATTTTTTAAAATATGTATTTTTGAAAGAGAGAGAGTGAGCGCAAGTGTTAGAAGAGGAGGGGCAGAGACAGAGAGGAACACAGAATCCGAAGCAGGCTCCAGACTCTGAGCTGTCAGCACAGAGCCCAACGTGGGGCTCAAACCCATGAGCAGTGAGATCACAACCTGAGCTGAAGTCAGAAGCTTAACTGACCGAGCCACCCAGATGCCCCAAGAAAGGTTATTTTGAATTTAAGTCAGTTCTCAGGTAGATCATATTATTGTTTTTTAAAAATGTTTATATACTTTAAGAGAGAGTGAGAGAGAGGGTTAAAGACAGAGAGAGGGAGAGCACATCCCAAGCAGGCTCCACGCTGTCAGCACAGAGCCCAACATGGAGCTTGCTCACATGAACCAAGAGATCATGACCTGAGCAGAAATCAAGAGGTAGATGCTTAGCCGACTGAGCCACCCAGATGCCCTTCAGGCAGACCATTTTAAAGAAACAGTGCAGTTGGCAGAAGCTGTGGATCTGTAAATTAATACCTTTAAAACTATTCAAGATCAAGGGGTGTCTGGGTGGCTCAGTTGGTTGAGCGTCCTACTTTTGATTTGGGGTCAGGTCATGATCTCATGGCTCATGGGTTCGAGTCCCGTGTGAGGCTCTGAGCTGATAGCACAGAGCCCACTTAGGATTCTCTCTCTCCCTCTGCCCCTCCACTGCTCACGTGTGCCTGTGTGCGCTCTCTCAAAAATAAACATTAAAAAAAAAAAAAAAACCACAAACACAACTGGAACCCAGGATCAAGGAATCCTTTAAGTCTTTGCTATTCTCTGCATGAGGACACCCCAGAAGGAAGTGGGTCCCCACCCCAGTGGGCACGTCACAGAGGTAGAACAGAGAGCAGGGCCATGTGTCCAGGGTCACTTTGCTTCCTAGGAGCACGGATTTCAGGTCTCCCCAACTTTTATTTCTTAGTTTGCATGGAACAGTATCTTCTCTATCAAAATAAAATCTAAAGTGTGCCATTCTGAGAAGAGACCCACTGTGGTGTGTGGTACCTTTTTAGCTTTTATTTTTAAGTCACTGTTGCCTCACTGATTGGATTCTGTTTACAACATGTTCCCTGGTTCTGAAAGAGATGTGTTTGCCTGCCAACAAATTCTTGATGAATGTCAAAGGTATAACCTTACTTGCGCTAATTCTATTTAAACCAGATGAAATACTAATATCAGAAAAATTTTATCAGTTCGCCCTAGAAGTTTAATTTTAGCTCCCCATCTTTCACGAGAAGGAAATTTTATCAGTAGAGCTAAACACCTCAACTTGGACATATTTTAACAGGTTATAACTTCAGACAGGTGTGTCACGCACAGCACGCACACACACTTTAACTAGCTTTTAAAACTTCCTGGCGGTAGAAGAACAGGCTGCCATTCATAAATAGTAAAAGACCACTTTGGACCCAGAGAAGGTGAAGCCTAGCTCTACGATCTACACCATCGAAACTCTAGGATATCGTATCTGTCAGGCAGGGATACGAATATTTATCTATCTTGTGTGGCTGCTGTGAAAACAGAGGGTAACGTAGGACCAAACCCTACCAGAGGCTCAACAGAGGGCTGGCAGATTTTTCTTTTTTAAAGGTGGTTTTCATTACTGAACAACTTACCAGAACCATATCCAGGTATTGGCCCTTTGGTTTGAAGGTCTGGGAGCCCCACATTCAGAGCGTTGGGTACCATGTTGTCCAGATGTGGCTTGGGCCCAACGGGGTGGGAGGGCGAGTGCTTCATGCCGGGCTGCCTCTGCTGCTGCTGCTGCTGCTGCTGCTGCTGCAGAGCACTCACCATTCGAGCCAGCTGGAGGCCAGGGGTCCAGAGCGAGGGGGAGGCCGAGGGAAAATGGACACATGATAAGCCAATACCCCGAACCTCCTAGGAAAAGATCGCGTAGGACTCGTGTTCTGCTGCTGGAGGTGAGGCAGAGATGCAGCCCTCACCCAGAGCACCAGAGGGACCCTCCCAATCCCACGTACCTGCTGCTCTTGCTGCTGGCGCACAGCTTGAGAAAGCTTCCTCTGGTTCTGTAGCAACTGCTGCTGCTGCTGCTGCTGCTGCAGGAGAAGCTGACATGCCTACAAAACAGGGAAGGAGAGAGAGGGGCAGAGCTTCCTAAGCCGGACGTCCTGACACACTTGAGGGGGTTGTGCCTCTAAGGGCAGGTCGCTGAATCCAGTGGCCAGGAGGAAAGTACCACCAAGTTCCTGGGCTACTGGTCACATCTACTTTCAGCTGAGTGGATACATTAACCCTTAAGCACGCATAAAATGAAGCAAATCAAAGTTAAAGGGCGGGGGGGGGAAGCAAATAATCTTTTTTTAGCTATAGGACAAAAATCTACTCACCAACTGAAACTGGGGAATTTGTGGAAGCTGGCTCAGCATGGCAATTTGTTGAGGAGATAACTGGGGCCCCACATTGAAAAGACCTGGATTCAGGCCACTGTTGGGAAACTGCTTGAGCATTGAGGCAGAAACCTAACAAGAAAAAAGAGGACTCTTTCAGAACTAAGATAAAACTTTTTAAAACAAAATTCTGTAAAAAGAATCTTAATAGGTCTAAAGAAAGCGTCGGTTGTTTTCCTTGAAAAATATCTGTGAAAAATATTAAATGATCAGGAGAAATAGGCCAGTGTTAACAACGGTTACGACTGAGCAGTGAGATTATAAGAGCTTTTAGGGGCACCTCGCTGACTCAGTCGGTAGAGCATGTGACTCTTGATTTCCTAAGTTCGAGCCCTGCATTAGGTATAGGGATTACTTAAAAAAAAAAAAAAAAAAGAGCTTTTAAATTCTCTACAATAAAGGGGCGCCTGGGTGGCTCAGTCAGTTGGGCGCCCAACTTTGGCTCAGGTCATGATCTCACGGTCCATGGGACTGAACCCCGCATCGGGCTTTGTTTTGACGGCTGGGAGCCTGGAGCCTGCCTCAGAGTCTGTGTCTCCCTCTCTCTCTGCCCCTCCCCCGCTCATGCTCTGTCTCTCAAAAATAAAATAAACACTTAAAAAATTCTGTACAATAAAAATTATTATGAGTTTACAATCAGGAAGACTTCTGCGAGACAAAAAAGTTTTAGTGACAATATGACGTTTGCCTGAGAAATTGTTATTGGAAATGGACTGTAAAACAAAACAGACCAAACTTCATAAACAGACTAAATAAATGCCTAAAACAAGATATTTTTGCTATAAAAATAAGAAAAATATATTTGACCTGTAAGTAAGAGACAATGGAGTTTCAACTGATGAATTCTCACACCAACCACTCAGAGTTGCAGAGCAGCAGAGCAAAAGGGCCCAGAAGGTCAAATGACTCAACTGGCTCCTGCCCCACGGTTTTCAGAAGGCAGTTAGGCTGGGCAACAGGAATCTCCAGAGACAGAGGAAAGACTCCCTCCCGTCTTTGGACTGTTCATCTGAGATGTTTTCATGGGGCTGAAATGAGTTTCCTTGCACTTTCATCCGCTGAGCCTACTGAACCAGCTGGTGCCACGAAGAACCCAATCTTCTGTGGGTGGCAGGCAGTTTAGTTTGAGATGCAGACTGGGCTGATTTCTGAGGTGGGTGACACAGGGCAAGTTACGTACTGAGCCTTTCTGAGCCTCATTTTCCTCCAAAACTGGAACAACAATAACTTTAGTGACGGAGAATTTTAGGAGTTAATCCGCATCCAAGGCTTAGAAATGCACTCCATCAATGCTCCTATTACTCCACAGGGATGATTCTTCAAGTGTCCAGAGACAATTACAGTTTCTTGTGTCTCATCTTCAGACTAAACATGCTCACTTCTTTCATGCGTATCTCATCCAATTTCTCAATGTGGAGCCCAGGACAGAAAGCCATTTTCTACAGCAGCTGAGTACTGAGTAGATCTGGCCATCACTACCCATTCTGTTGAAAGCCAGGCTTTTTATTAACAATGCCTGAGATCTCCGTTTCTCTGATGGTCACATCCTAACCCCCAACTCACACATTAAGTTTACTGTCAATTAAAATCTACAATATTTTAAAACAGGTGTTGCTCTCTTGTTGAATATTTAAGCAGCTGGGTTGAACTGTATTAATGTATGTTTTGATCTTAGGACCTTATCTTTATGTGCATGGCACATGGATGTTTGATAAACATCTAATAAATAAGTAAATATATTTCACTTAATTAACTATTTTTTTAAATGTTTATTTTTTAAACTATTTTGAGACACAGAGAGTATGAGAGGGGGAGAGGGGCAGGTGGAGAGAGTGAGAGAGGGAATCCCAAGCAGGCTCTATGCTTAGTGCAGAGCCTAACATGGGGCTTGATCCCATGAATCATGAGGTCATGACCTGAGCTGAAATCAAGAGTCCAATGCTTAACCGACTAAGCCACCCAGGCACCTCACAATTAATTTTTTAAAGATTTAACTTTTTAAAAGAGTAATCTTGGGGCACCTGGGTGGCTCAGTTGGTTAAGCAGCCAACTTCGGCTCAGGTCATGACCTCACAGTTTGTGGGTTCAAGCTCTGCATCAGACTCTGCTGACAGCTCAGAGAATGAAGCCTGCTTCCAATTCTGTGACTCTCTCTCTCTGCCCCTCACCCACCCCTGCATTCTCTCTCTCTCAAGATTAAATATTTTTTTTTGTTTTATTTTTTTAAATATTAAAAAAAAAAGTAATCTTTACCCCCAATGTGGGGCTTGAACTCACAACCCAGAGACCAAGAGTTGCATGCTCCACCAACTGAGCCAGCTTGGTGCCCCATGAATAGTATATTTTATTAATAGTCACACCACCAAATTCTTTCCTACCCTATTATTCTGCCTATTCTCAGTTTGTGTTTCCCTATCTGGTCACTGATGGAAATGCTGAACTTGATAGAGCAGAAGATAATCTAGTAGTACATTCCTAAAAACTTCTTTTCAATCTGAAAGTGATCCAGCTGGGGAAGAGTCAATCATTTACTAATCCACACAACTGCTGTAGCATTTAGTTTATATTTTTTCATCTTGTCCAAAACAAAGAGACAGCTTGTCAAATGGTTTGTCAAAACAGAGATTTCAACAACTATATCGTTCTGATAATCCACAATTTTTAAACTAATCAATAAAATGAATTAAGACTTGTTTGCAAATTTATGATTCTTGATTTCCTATCACAGGTGCTCAAAAAGCCATCTTTTTGATAATCTAGTGTAGATTATCAAAGTCTAGTCTAGATTATCATTATGATAATTATCATTATCATTGTTTAGAATTGGCACCAGTTCATCAGTATTTAAACCACTTCCCTTACTGTTTGAAGAGTTGTTAAAAAAAAAACTTCCCCATTCTCCTCACTTCCTTGTAGGGGAGAGGTGCCTTCTTCCTCTTTCTACTCTGAGAATCCACAAAGAGGGGCATCTACCTTGCCCCTGGGCCTCCTGCCCCTTTTTCTTGGCAGCAAACTTATAGGGAGGGTTGCCCCATTCCAATTACTACTGGCTAAGTTTGTAATTCAGTGTTAGGAAGCTCAAATTCTCTAGAATCAACTTTCTCAGTAGTAAAGGGGATATTTTGCCTCTACATGCCTTTCTTTTGTCTTAAAAATTCAGGATTTGTGCAAGAGAGCATAGTAGTCATTAATACATTCCCCTCGAAGGTCCCCAGCAGTCCTCAAAGATCACAGAAGGGCTCTGTGATTCTTGTGACAAGTTGTTTTTCTGTTATAGGATTTAATCCATCTCAATCCTTTTGGATTAACAACTTTATTCTTTTTTTTTTTTTTTTTTTTTTTTACCATTTATTTATCATTGAGAAACAGAGAGAGACAGAGCATGAGTAAGGGAGGGGCAGAGAGAAGAGAAGACACAGAATCTGAAGCAGGCTCCAGGCTCTGAGCTGTTAGCACAAAGCCTGATGTGGGGCTCGAACCCACAAACTGTGCGATCATGACCTGAGCTGAAGTCGGGCGCTGAACTGACTGAGCCACCCAGGCACCCCCCGGACAACTTTATTCTTTTTTTTTTTTTTAAATAGTTTATTGTCAAGTTGGTTTCTATATAACACCCAGTGCTCATCCCCCCACAAGTGCCCTCCTCTATGCCCATCACCCCCCCCCTTCAGTCCTACGTGTGTTCTCAGCTGAACAACTTTATTCTTAACGTAGATCACAAAAGGGGTGCAAATTTTAAATCCACTTAATTTAATTTTCCTTTAACCATTTAATACACATACAACTAGTGATTCTTCTAGTCACAGGATTGCACCAAACCAATTCTGAAGGCTCTTTCAACCTGCCTATCGCTTTGCAAGTCTCCACCTATTTTATGTTCTAATCTCCCAGCACAACTCGTACACATATCCATCCCTGCTTGCTACCCTTACTTTCCATCTTTTGAAAATACCTCCTTAAAATCTTAGTCATCAGAAAGCTTTCATCAGAAGACCCACTGGGTCTTCCCACTGTATCTTTCTTTAGCATAAGAGTTCTATGAACGCTTCCGAGTCCCAGTCTCTGCCACATTCTCAAGAATACCTGTCTACCTTTCCTTTGATGCCTTCTAGTCTAGAAACAAGTTCGAGTCTCCTGTCCGGGGCTCAGCAACTCATCTTCTTCCAAGATCTCAGCCACTTTTCACTTAAGCCATCAGTGCTATCACTTGGGGAAGTATTTTGGGTTAAAGTAACGGTTTTCCCAGCTCTTTCTTCCCTATTCTCTAAGAGATGCTGAGTGTTGCCAACCAATGAGAACATTTGTTTGATTTTCTATTTTAACGACTGGACTCCTAACAAATGTGAGCTCAGTGCGAGCACACCACAGTGCACTGTGCCTCTGCACCAGTTGTTGGTTTTTTTTCTAACATTTATTTATTATTGAGAGACAGAGCACGAGCACGAGAGGGGCAGACATAGAATCTGAAGCAGGCTCCAGGCTCTGAGCTGTCAGCACAGAGCCTGACGTGGAACTCGAATTCACAGACTGCGAGATCATGACTTGAGCTGAAGTTGGTCACCTAACCCATGGAGCCACCCAGGCGCCCCATCTCTGCACCAGTTTTACGGGCTGCATTCTGAAGGACTTGGTATTAAAAAAATGGTAAAAAATGTGATAATAACCTTTAAGCACGGATTATGGGTTGAAATGATAATTTAGATATACTGGCTTAAAGAATACATATTATTAAAATTAATTTTACCTGCTTCTTCTTATCTTTCTTAATGTGGCTACCAAAAACTTGGAGTTACACTATGGCAGTTGTGTTACATTTCTATGGGGCAGTGGTGCTCCTAGGCCATCAGCATTGCTTCTCATTTCCCTTCCAAAGGGAAAGGATTCTAGGGTTCACGGGAAATCTACTCTGCTTATTTTGTTTTCCAACCTGCTGGCCTCCAAAATAAATAGCCATTATCTGAGCTCTCCTTTCTTCCCACTTCTCCATTCAGTTCTAAAAGCTCCACTGAACAAATCAGCTGGTCTCCTGATCAACCCATTCTTCAGTCTTGAGACTGTAGGACATTCCTTTG